CATGAAATGACCTAGAGTTATATTACCATTACCTCTATGCTCGTTTTTCGAGTTTCCTGAATATTGGCGCATACACATTCACTTCGCTCCGTCGATACGTTTGTATTACCATAATACTTGCAAATTCCCGCTGAATGCGTGCTGAATTATTAATTGGGTAAATAAAAATCATACTAGGGGGAGGGGGAGGGGGAATAACGTTACTTTTAATTGTGTATTCAGCAAGAATAGGCTGGGGATCGAAGCACCAAATGAATGTAGGTTTTATTATCTTTAATAAAGTAATTATGGTAGCCAATCACAACTAAGCATCGTATATTTTCGATACAAAATCCACACTGACACCCGATAATAATAATTGATACATAAAAGTTGCGCTTCCTTAGATTATGACAAACAGTTCTGAAGAGCCGTGTCATTAAAATATAGATTTCACTTTATTTTGATAATTGCATTCTCGACTTAGCAAGACGACCTCTTTTATCATGAATGAGGCTGCACGAGGCAAAATTCATTCATTAAATACACGTAAGCCGTTAAAAAAACTTGACAAATACGTATACAACTGTTTAGGAGTGATATTCATAAGATGCACTTTTCCGCGGTCGTGATGTATAAGGTGCTATGCATAAAAAAGCTTTCATATCTCTAGCATTTCTTCTTTCACAGACTTACTGCCTCATAAAGGAACGTGTTAAAACAAAATTTTACTTCTAAAAGTGAATAAAGAATTTAGATGAAAATGGCTTACGTATATACTTTTTGTAAATACTCATTTGAAATACTAAAGTAGAATTACTTATTTTGTTATTAAAATAATTATTATTCCCTGGTGTATGCCTCGATATTTACCAATATTCATTGATTCATTATCAACGACGATATTATCAACGCTTTTGTATGTAATGGGCATTAAATATATTATCTGATCTAAATGATTATTTACTTATATCGTTGCATTGTACAGTGTATAAAAACATTGTATAAAATGCCGCTAATGTTTATTTAATTAAGTGTATTATGTATTTTTTTATATTAAACATGACTAGGCAATGAACTCGTGCACGAACGACTCTACAGAATCATTAGCATATAATTTGACTAAATGAAACATATACCTATATACGGATAAAGATAGATATGCTAATATGCACAATCCGAAATTATGTGAAAGTGCAATATAAATGTAAAGTACCATTTTATCTATCATTGAGATTCACTAAATTAAAATTACTTTTTATATACGAGTGAACTGTTATAGTTTTCCTTTACGGGCCATTATGCACCATCAAAGCGATTTCTGTTTATTTATATGAGTCAAACATTTGGCATTGGCATCAGCAAAGGTCTACAAGACCAATGAGATAAGCATTAAAAATTCTTCCCCGTCGCATTCTTCTTCTCGTCGCTCTTCTCACGCTCCTATTCCACGCGCCGTGAAAGCCAGACTTTTCATCTCCCGACTGCTCTTCTGTTCCTTTTGTCCTCCGTCTTTTCGCATGGGTACATTAACCTGGCACGCTTTGCATTCGGGCCGCGCCACAGCAGCAATGACTCCAAGTACGAAGATCCTACGAGGACTTTGACACATGACGGCCGAATATAAACTGCCCGGCGTTTAATAACGTAGTCGTTCGAGACGCCGCTCTACTCTATCTCCTCCCTTTCCTCTTGATGCGAAGGACTTAAATGCGAAGTTTTCATTTTGTCGAGGTGGCATAAATTTCTGCAGACGAATCGTACTGGCATTTTTCACGTCGCTTTTACTTTTCGCTCGCTCCCCTGCGTGATTCGAAAGATATTTATATTGCTTCGTTCCCGATTAGATAAATCGAATGTATCTCATGTTGATGAAATAAAGAATGAGCGCTGAGACGAATTTTTTTCTAACGATAAAGGCACATCATTGTACGATAATTTCCATCAATTTCTAGTAATTATACTGTTAGAATATACTGTTGTTTAAAACAACGTGTGACGCCTATTCTTCAAAGCAACTCGACAACAAAAGTCCATGAAATCGCTAGTCTTTTTTCTAACATTTAATATTCTATCGTCATCAAAACTGATACAAATTTTCAATTTTGTTCATCTATATATGGTCGTAATTAATTTAAGTGCACATAGATATTTTTGAGATACTTATATGAATTGGAAAATTCTTAACTCGTATCATGTGTGTGATAGATAATCATTACATTACTTTATAAAGAATTATATATTAAATTAAATCCAATGCAAATTTTTACAATAAAATATAATATTTTAGTAAAAAGAAATACTTCTTATAAAATTATACATTAAAATAAAGTGAATTGTATAATAATTCCTAATTGAAGAATAACATACCTTCTATAATAATTTCTACATTTAAGTTTACATTGATAATTTTGCATCCTGAAACAAATCTCACTTGGAAATATTAAGGAAATATTACCTCAGGAACAATATTTATCCTCGATAATTAATTAATCTTAAAATAAGCCTTTTTGAACTGAATACTTCTTTAGATTATAAGAGGATATAAAGTTTAAAGTAAATTAATTCCTTCATTCAGTTTAATAAGCAGCAATTTCAATACATTTAATGTGGCTTATGCTATTCATTATTAAGTGACAAAATGCTTTATTACTTAATCCTAGGGATTTTTCAATAATTTTATGTTGTTGTCGTTACAGTGAAAGAACTAAATATTTTTATAGATTATTGGGTGTACTCTCATTAAAAATAATTCTACTAATAAGTGAGTAAAAGACAATGGGAATTACATTATATAAATTGCTACTTTAATGATAGAGAAACAGATAAATCGAAAAATATTTAAAGAATTATATTATTCAATTAAAGGCCATTTAATATTTAATCAACTTCTTAATAGCTTAATAGATGCATTTCCTGCAAAAAAATTTCCCCACAAATCGTACGCCAGACTAAACATTCGAACTAAAGCTCTCGCATATCCTCACTCCTTATCAGTCTTATCTTGTCTGTCCGCGTTTCGGCTGTCACTGGCTTCTTTTCCTAGTTTTATTCCTCAACAGCGTACAATCCGTCATAAAAATGGCGGATGACATCTAGGCGACGTCTTTGCAGGGATCGGAGTTTACATGGGAATTGTTTTTCAAGATCCGTAGCCAGGGACGGAGAAATAAAGAAAGAGACACGAGCGGTGCTCCAATATTGTTTTCTTACTGCTCGTAAAGCTTTCACCTCGTTAAAGAAGGCTCAGAACATAGCAACGCATCCCTTGTCTACTCGCTTGCTTTCTCAGGGAAAGCACATGTGTATGTGAATTGAGTTGAAAAAATCATACCTTATTCATGCTGCACGTATATCTATTAAAAAGTAATTGAATTTTAATTTTTAAGCTAAGTTATGAGTAAGATTATGTAATATTTATGATAAAAACTTTTAGGTCTTTTATCTTGTATATCACTATATTTTCTATTTCTACTTTTCTTATTCTCCGAAATTTATATTTATATACACTTTTATTGGTGCACTAATAATTAAACTAAATTATTAGGAAAATTATCAACCAAAATTATCACCATACCAACAATAAAGTTTTCAAATATTGATTATTTTTTAATAAAATTAGTCTTTCTAAATTGATGTCGCTTCAACTAAAGAAATCTGTTACTTCTCCATTAGGTGATGCAAATTACAGAAAAAATTTTATTCCACTTTTCATATTATGTTATTGCAAACAACGTATTTACTTAGATAAGAATCTTTTACGTATTCCTTCGTCATGTATTAATACGTATTGCAAATATTACTCAACCATTTATTTATTGTTACACTAATAGTTTAAACCATTTCTTTTGTTTCTTATTCGTAGGAGATAAATTGATGGAGTGTAAGTAAGACATATAAAACTAAACAAATGATAATTTTACAAAGAATTTATATTTAACACGTTATGTAAAAAAATATATATATATTTTTTAAATATAAAGTTATTCCATTGATAAAAGATTTAAAGATTCTATTGAAAAATGTTATATTCAACTATTAATGCGATTATTAATATGTTCATTTTAATAATAAGTACAATAGAAGTACAAAAATATCGATTAAATAAGATATCGCAAATTAAATTGATTGGAAATTAAATTTTTAAAACTGAATAACTATAAAGATATTTTGATATTGTTGTACATTAGACAAAATCCTAGTAACTCATGGCAGCTTTTTATACTCGATTGACAAATTTCAGTTTATTACAGCTTGATAAAGAATTTTGTAAAAAATTAATAATTACATTATTTCTAGTGCATTCGGATCACTATTGTATAAACGGATGAATTCTCTTCTATTTTATAATTATTTAAAAAAACTTTGTGACTGAAATTCAAAGTTTAATAAGACTAAAATAATATATAATAGTTGTAAGGAGCAGTTTTTTAACGACCGAAAATGAAAAATTAACGTTATAAAAAAAATTTTATACTGTACAACGTTCGCGCTATGTAGATCGACTTTTTTGCAAAAAAAAAATACACTCAACCTTAATTCCAACTTAAATCAAACGGCACTTTAATCTCAAACTGAAATAATAATAATAATAAAAAATACAATATAAGAAAGTCACTACATATCCAATCATCCCGAAAATTGATTCACTTCACCAACAATAAAGTTGAGAAAACTCTCATCAAAGTTTGCGAATATCTTATGGATAATGGAAAAATAGCGCAAGCCAGTATACATGTACTCGTATACACATGTACTATCCCCATTTCCCTACTGCAAAATTTGACGCAGCCTTTCCCAACTTTTGCAATAGAGGTGAAGAAAATTCGAGTCACGCATTCGCAATATTAATAAACAAATAAGAGAGACGTATCGAACAAATATGCGTCGGCGAATCTTCCGTCCACAGTAGCGGGCACGATAACTTGGCAGCAATTAATTAGCCTATCGACCCTCAAAGAGACCTCCAAAGTCTCTCTCGATCGATAAAGCCTCACTAACGGAGAAAACCCTTGTTGCAGGCCTGTCACTGGGCGGCGGCCTTATCGTCCTGGCCTCAGCCCTCTCCGAAGCCTCCTGGGACCTGCCACAGAAGTTCAGCTTCGCGTCATCGAACAAGTCGGCGAACACATCGCTTCCCCAGTACCAATACGGCTGGTGCCTCCAGCTGTCCGGATTGGCACTCATTCTGTCCGAAGTCGCGGCTCTCCTCACCATATCCGGCTACATGGCCCGCTTCCCCACTGTCGAGGACATGGTACGTGCCGCGTATTATGCACTATCATTAATCACCGGCTGGCGCCTCCCGCATTCGGGTAAAGTCAGAATTATTCATGCATAAGGGCATGTAAATGAGAAATTCGTAGCGATGCTTTAATAATGGGTATACTGTTTTGCGGAATGGGCCTGTCCCTTGTTTCCTTAACTTTCTGTCTTTGTACCGAACGGGCTGCTTTTATAATTGATTGCGCCTCGTGATTTGTATATTGGAGGAACTTTAGAGGGTGCAATGGTGGCGTGGCTTTTAATGTATTGCCGGTTCAATTGTGGCTGGATCCGTGGAGAAATTTCAGCGATTTACATTAATGCCAGATGATGTTGCCGGGCTATTAGACCGAATCGGCTATTTACGATTGATATTTATTTTAGAATGAGATATTAATGATAGACCGTAGGTTGTGCTGGAAATTGGTTTGCCTGAAAAGCAAAATTCTATGTCCCTTCTATGTTCGAGACACTGGTCAGTGTGCATCGTAAAGAAAAATTATTTGTACATAATTAGACTTTATGGAATGTTAACTAAATCCCAATCAAAAATTATAAAAATTCGAATAATATCGACGATAATACACATAATCACGTATTTGATATTCCATGCATGAATAGCATTTTTAATTGAATATCACCGAAGTAGGCAAATTTTCATTGATTATGCTACTAGAAAATAGGGGAAATACCATCGAAATGCACAATCCGTAATATTATTCTGTAAAATCGTAATTCTCAAATGTGCGTATCCGCGCTTTTAAAGTATTCTCCTGAATTAAAGAAACGGAGCTCCCTTAAAGAACACGTAATCACATTACGTAAATCACGCTACCGTCGCTCCCTGCACTTTGCACTTTGCAATTCAATTATTTTAATCGTCCATATCGCTCCACGCCAATTCATTTTCCACGAATTCTCGGCTTTGCGAAGGAATCAGCTTCTTGGCTTTTCCGCAGGTGCGAGTGATGGTGCCAGGGGCGGAAAGAAAATTACGTGAGCAACGCGGCCTTAGTTCGGAGTACCTAGTAAGGTCACATCAAAAATCGCCAGGACCTACTCCTTGCTCCGGTGTCAGTCAGCCAACGAAAGGTGCAGGTACGAAAAGCTCCAGTCTAATATGTTATGTGGTCGTAGAAAAGGAGTTATGAAAGAAAAATTTGTTTTATTCCGTTGTGAAATTGTCAAGTGGCCCTATCATTACTTTTCACTCGACATGACCTTTTGTATAAAATTTCATCAATTTGACTTTACGATCAGTTAAATTATTGCTTTGTAATACAATTAGAGCAAATTATCGATTTTCATCTCTACGAACTATTTACATAACAATATGGCGACGAGCAATTAATCAAATTAACTATTTTTTCAAAATTAATGAATATTTGCATATTTAATTTGTCGATGAATGAGTTTTAAATGCCAAGGCGCTTATTATTATTGATCATTAAACGACATAAAAATGACAAACTTAATCGGCTAATGTTTTTGAAACGAATGTGTCATTCGCATTAAGAAATGCAGTATTTCTTTGTACGTTGAAAAATACGTTACAAATTTTTAAATGGTGGAGAACAAGTAGCGACAACTATGAAATTCTATCTCAATTATGAAAAGATATTTCACTACATACTCTACGTTAATTCAATGTTGCTAGATAATTAATCAATTCATCGGAAATAAACGGTAATTGAAGACAAAATCATTCGTTATCGCGGATGTTTAATAAAGTTGTTAAACGAATATTGTTTTTAACGTTGATAGGAACAATCCTCGTTGAATGTATCATGAAAATGTCTATGAGTAATTAATCTTTTTAAATTGTATTATAAAGGCATTGACATGAGATAATCTGTTAAGCATAGAACATCTATAATTTCAATAATTAATAATAATCGTAATTAATTTTTCAAATTGAAGCATATAGCATTCATTTCAAAATTAACGATTTTTATTTTAATTAAAAGTAGTATAATAACGCTTTGTAATAAATCTACTTAAATCAAATTATTTCCAAATGAAAAGTTTTTATATCAAAGCGAATAAGTTATTCAATTTGCTTATACTAACGTAAATTTTTATCGAATTTTTCAATTAACGGATCTGCATTTTCCTTCATTTTATCGCCTGTAATTATAAAGTGAGACAAAAAGGTAAAGGCGGCTGGCAATAAATGAAAATCCGACTCAACTATCAATAAAGTGTGTAAAGTATTTTTCGACGTGAAACCGTAATTCGTCGATGATATTAATTCGATGCACCCAAGATGTGATATTGAAACCACATTACAAATGACAAATATACATTATGGGTATATTAATTATGGGAGTACGTTGTAACAGGGTGGGGTAGGCCGAAAAAATCAAACTAATATTAACTCACTCTCTCTCTTTCTCTCTCTCTCTGTTTCTCCGTATCTCAACAGGTCCACCGCGGCTAGCGGACGAGGGTACGTCGCTACTGTGCAAGTCAGCTCCCGACATTTGCGCCTCGAATCCGCAATCGGCCATCAGCTACGTCGACAAGGCCGACTTATCCCACATGCTCCCGGCATACCCTGAGACAAAGATAATCGAGCCTCGCTTCGCAGGCGCTGGATTCCCCGAAAAGACCGACCAGAATGTCGTCGACTCTCGACTGAGCGGATTCGTCGATAAAGAAGGTCTCATTATGGATTCCCGCATGCTCTCCGAGTCCCGACAGAACGTAATCGCCTTTGCCGAGGCTAAGGAGCACCCCAACTGCCAGGAACCACCAGCGCGCTTCAGCGACTTTCCCCCACCACCGCCGGCCAACGGCATGTCCACCGAGCAGCAGCAGCAGCAGCAGGAACAGCAGCTGGTACAACAGCAGCCGCCCTTAGCGTTCGCCGATAAAGAAGCACACGCGAGTGACTCCCTCCTTGACGCCCCCTACGGCTACGAGTCGCACTACAATAGCCTCGCCGGACAAACGGTTCCCATCACCCTTAAGCACCAGCACCATCACCAGCATTACCAGGCCAACGCCTCCGCCCAATATATCTACCAGAATTTCGGCACGATACACTCGGGGATGCTGAGGGTCGCCGAGCCCAGCGTTGCTGCCAACTGCTCGAGCCAGCGCAGCATGACCCTACAGAACCCTAAAAGGAAGTCATTGGCCGGGCCCGGTCACATTGCCCAAAACACCTTCAGCACCCTCGAGTGCGAGAAGCGTCGGCGCGGTGGTGGTGGCGGTGGTGCCGGAAGCGGGCCCGGGATCGGCGAAGCTCCGCTTTCCGCCGGCTTCTGCGCCGGCAGCGCGGTATGACCACCGAGCCAATCTCCTGCCCCGAGGTAACTCCTGAACGAGGAGACTACGCTGTGAGTCTCAGTGGACCGCGACACTCGCCGAGGATGAGCAGTCGTCACCGCGAGTAAGGACGAGCCTACGATGATGGGAGTCTCGGAGCTCGGAAGTACAAGCCGTCGAAATGCTGAGGACGTAATCCGTTGATCGTCAGCGCCATGAACTTCCTATTAAGAAAACGACCAGTGCTTTTATGGGGATGGAGATGGAGATGGTCCGTCTTGATGTATTATTGTCGGATACCTGGAAGGTGGACAACATTGATAATTGTACGCATTTATTCGTGTCATTCTTAAAATATTAGTCGAATAAAAGGCTGTTAAAATTATTGTAACATTAAGGGGAGGATGGAATGGAGAGTGACCAGGGTTATTCTCTGGAATATTTATGCAATGTTAATCTAAATGTCAATATGTCAATTGGCGGTATTTGGAATATCTGTTTGAATAATGAATACGCTAGTATTTGGATTAGATTAGATTATTATGGTCTCGTGCAGCTCGAGCTTCTTCAACTTTTGTAAATGCTCCCTGAAAAATTATATATGAGCATGTGTTCAATGGATTTTGTAGAAATGGTTTGTGAAAATTTCAAAGCTATTGTTATTGTAAATATGCACATCGTAAGTGCGATTTGCCTCGAAAGGCAGCGGTTTTCCGATTTGTCGGCCTTCCACGATTATAATTATAGAAGCAAAGCTCCATGTCTCGTTCTTAAATTATATATTACAACTACAAATTTCATAAAAGAATTTAATCTCATATTGTGGTAATTTCGAAGCAGATTTATATAATTTACGCGAAGCAGAATTATTCGCATTGCTTTTTTTTATCTTGTATCGTCGAAATAATTTATTTATTAAAAAACATTAAACGATAATTGAGAATACATTCGAATGCCATTGAATGAACAAGACTAAAGAACTGTGACTTTTGTACATATGAAATAGTGTATTTCGTATGCATGATTACTAACTACTAAACCATTATAACAAAAAAAAAAAAAAAATAAGAAAAAACATACTCTTATTTAAATAATGCGTATTATTATAATTATTATGGTAATAATAATTATTATTGTTATTAATATTATCATTCATATCATCACCGTCTTCGTCGTCGTCGTAGTCGTCAGCGTCATCAGCGTCATCATCATCATCATCATCATCATCATCATCAAAAAAATAATTATGATTGTTATTATAATTACAATTATTATGGAATAACTTCTTTTTTATTATCATAAAAGTCAACGTCAGTAGTATAATGTGGATGCACCGATTTTCGAGAAAGTCGATGTGCTTTTGTATATTGCAGTAGTAATCGTTATAAATGCTCAAATCCAATTAAAATAAAATATTTTTGCTTCCAAAGCACTCCGTGCTTCTTGTAGGAGTGCTAGTAACGTGAATGAGAAGCATGCAATGATCTCGCGCCATTTAAATTTGTTATTCGCGAAAACTATAACTGAATAGAATTTAACAGATGGATAAAACCTCGATATGTTGCCAATGTATAGCTAATTAAAGAAAGTGTAAACCGAAACCGAAGATTAAAGTGTAGTTGTTATAAAGTAAGATTTTAGATGATCGATGTAATAAGGATTAATCAATACTGTAAAGTTTTAAGTGCATTTTGAAAAATTGACGGTATCTACGACTATAAGTGGACATCTATGTGGTTGCGAATGGTTCCTGAACATATCAAATCGAATGACACACAATGCAAAAGAATATTTACAATAGTAGAAGCTTGTAACTTAACGTCGGTTAGTATAATCCATTCACTGGTCACACTAAACGCTAATTTTTCTTACAAAAAAATAAACTGTTTTCGTACCAGAAAAGAAAACTAAATATAAATGAAGAAAAAACTTATACCGAAATAAACAAATGGGACAAACATTTGTTATATGTAATACTCCTCCTAGTTAGATGTAATAAAGTGTTTTTTTTATAGTAAAATTGAAAACAACTATTTTTAATATTCCTTTTCGAGCAGACGTTTTTGAATTTTAAGTAAGTAAGGAAAAAGTTGTTCATAATACCGTTACCCTTTAAATTTATTAGCTCCCTACAACTTTAATAATTTTCAACGCGCTTTTTAGGTATAAATTATATCTTTAAAAAAAAAAAAAAAAAAAAAAAGCTCTACTTTTTATTGGTTTGGAGTATCCATAATACGAAGAGGGCACCGTAATTTTAAAAGTGTAAGTAATCCATCGTCAATTGGAATTTATGATAACGTGTTAAGTCCACGAGGAATGCTAATGTTTAATTAATGCGGCATAATTGCTCGACTCGTTAGTGATTACTGCTCAATATTAATCTGCAATTTGAATTGATTTCAATACCGTTGAATATCATTGAATGCATAATCGATACTGAACCAATTGGAAATGCAAAATTTACAAAAACTACGCTCATATTTATAAAGAAGAAAGAGTATTGGCGAAAGTTTGAAAATAGAAAATATACTAATAACGTAACCGTAAATTTTCAAATTAAATTCACGCCTATTACGTTCCAAGGTCAAATATAAAACATTTGCCGTTTAGCATTATTCGTAGACAAGATATACATATTTATATAAATAATAATTGTTTTAATGGGCTTAATAGCTAATGAGCCACGATATATGGATAGGAAACTATTCTAGGAGACGAATGTATTATCGTTATATTATATATATTATCGGTATTAGTAGTCTATCATCTGGGAAATTAACGATACGCAAAACAAAGTATTATTCAATATTATAATAATTAACTCGTTTAAGAGTCACAAACAATATAACAGAAAATTGGCGCGACAAAGGAGATCAGATTAGGTTTCGACATGCCAACCCTCCTACACAATTACAAATAAATTTCCGAGCACCTTATGTCACCGTGCCCTCAATGATCAGACGAGGCAAGCTTATTGATTAGATAGAGAGAGAGAGAGAGAGAGAGAGAGAGAGAGAGAGACAGACAGACAGACAGACAGACAGACAGACAGACAGACAGACAGACAGACAGAGTGAAAGGGAGTAAGCGTGTGAGCGAGAGAGAGACAGAGTGAAAGGGAGTAAGCGAGTGAGCGAGAGAGAAACCGCCAATATTTCTATACCCCATGGGCTTCTTGATGCACGACTAATGAAATAGATGGCGCCACACAATTCGAACGTTCGACATTTTTCCGTTGCATGGCTCGTAAAGTGTGGTGGCCTTAAAATTAAATTAGCGATAGGAATAAATTAATTGGCATTTAATAGACAAACGATCGAGGATATCGACACCAGTGTTATTCATGACAAGTGCAAAAGCAACGAATTCTACGCGGTGATTGGTGATAGCTTTCGGAAGGGAAGAATTTCAATGGAAACGAAAGCCGAGCTTGGTAAATACTCAACTGTTCTTTTTAAGAAAATTTATAAATACTTTTGCTCGTTTTTTCATTAACGAATTGGCCTATAATCAATGTAACAAGCGTACCGAGCATCGTGGATGGATTATATAAAAAAAAAGTACTGATTCAATGGATAGTTTTACAAAGTGTTTGAAAGATTCGAAGATAACCTACGGAATTTGTGTATTCTTATGCAATAATAAACGGAAAGTAATCGACGTTGAATAAAAGTATGCTTCAAACGAACGTGTCATCCTTAAAGTATAATACTTCTTACATGCAATACGTAGTCGAGAAATAGCACATTGTAAAAATAATCCATTGCTCAAAATGATTGACATATTTTACGGAGAAAATGTCGTTTTTATCATAACATAAACTGTGACTGCATGTTCAAGTGTTACCTGATTAAGCGGTCCTTTTCGCTCTTCATTCGACATTACTTAGTAATAACGAAAAAGCACGAATCCCTCGCGAAAACGGAATAATAATGAAATTTCAAAAGTCTCCCCTCCCCTGCCGCTGGCCCCTGAAAAACGCGTGACTGAAAAAACCAGACGGTAGTCGGTAATAATTATACGGGGTTGAAGCGACTTGTGAATCATCGAGTCAAATCATGTCACCGCGGTGATAATAGGCCACTTTACAAAATAAAAGCAAAAACTAAAAAAGCCAAGATATTCTCATGATGCTTGTTCCAACTTATCGAATAGGCATCGCACATATTCAGACGCATGCGGATGCCTGTCAGCTTTCGCAAGCGGCCATGTCTTGCCAAATTATCATCGGCGTGAATCAACCATACGCCCCTCCATTTGACTGACGGCGCGAAAATTACCGAACTTTTGCTTCGCGGATTGCGGCTGTAAGCTGTTTGCCTTATGTTATGTGCATTATGTTCAACGATGAGATCCCGTTTGTCCGGGAATTGGGCATACGCGCGTTTTCTGGTTGTTAGGTAAAATTTTGATGCAGCCCTATTCAAAGCTAAGAATTTAAAGCTAGAATGATAAAATTGGATTGCAGTTAAAAATCATATATACTTCGTGTCGACGCTATTCGAGCGGAAAATAAGAGAAATTGGGAAAACAGGAATTTTCTAATTGTCGTTAGTTGTCCTAGTGTTATCATATTGCTAAACTCGTGAATGAAATTTAGAAAAACTTCTTTAGTTATAATATTCATTTGTACATTTTGCTTATACATTCGGCGATTTTTAGCATCGAAACTCAAACTCGAACCTACAATATATTATTATTTTCCCTGCATAGTTAAAGAATATTCTTTTTGTCCTACCACTTTGATAAATACATACTATTTTTTCAGCTACGCGAGGTAATATTTAAATTGCAAACCATTCTTAATCGTCTTGTTGTAAAAAAAATAATGATCCAAAACTGTTAAGTGCTCGGATTGATTAATATTATTTAATCTAATATATGGTTTCAAAACTGCCAATCTTAGTATTTATAAATTACTATATAATTTAGAGAAACTGGCGACGTAACGGAAACAAGTTGTGATTGAGATGAATTTTGAAAAGAAGTGTTATAGGCACTGAGTATCCAATTTCTTCGCCTTTTATTTGAAATAATTTCATTCATTCCAAACAAATATCATTAATTTGCTACATCCTACGTCTCTTGGTAGCACAC